GTGCCCTTCATTGGAAGAGAGTGCATCATTGAAACTTTTCTATATCAGTGCCAACATAAAATGTTCATTTAAAGACAGACTAGGTAGCTTTCAAAGGAAGAAATTGAAATGAAACGTTGGGTTCTGCTGTTACAAACATACCTGGTTGTACTTATTGCTGTTTGGCTGACATTGCTGAGTCTTCTTACAGACATTTTTAGCATGTCACAGATAATTTTGTGGGGGGTTTTTTGTACCTTTATTTCCGTACGTAATGATATAAAGGCCTATCATAACCAGCACAAAGAGGTATCACAGACAACATAAAATGTCTTCAGTCACATCTACAGGTAGCCTTGTCAGTGTTAGTGCTTCCCTTTGTGAGTTTTGGGAATGTGGTGAAAAGGTTTGGTTTCGAGCTCTGTGCTATAACTTTCGCAGCTAAAGAGCTAAATATGTTTGTCAGGAGTTGGTGGGGGATAGATAACATGTTGTATTACAATATCTTTTAATGCAGGTTTGAAGACTGAAGACAATCTTTGGAAATTAGGTGAAAATGCATGTGCCATCGATTGCAACCTGTGGCTACAGTAGAAGAATAAGAAGGGAGTGCGGGTGACGTTTATGGCTCTGGGAAATAGTCTCAGAGTGAGACCTCTTACTGTCTGCTAGAGACCAGCTACCCCGGGTCTGAAACAATCCACTGTCAACTGTCAGTGCTGATCAGATATGGATCCAGATTCTGTTACTGCGTTGACTATTTCTCTCCTCAAATCTGTTCACAAACAGCCATTGAGAGCAGGTTAAATGCCTTTTTCCTGGACAACCAGAACAGGAATGATAATTTCTAGAAGAATTGCTGCACTCAGTCCAGTATTATATCACTCACATTGAGTACACTGATGGTCAGTGTTCCAGTTTTCAACTCACTGCCAGTAATCGTCCAACCATGCTGGTAAACGAAGGCAGTACAGTACGATGATGTAACTACAGTGAAGAGGCGCACGCTGTTTCTTTTCTGTAAGTGCTCAACAAATAAGTCAAACCAACAAACTCTGCACTCTCGTTCCAACACACACAAACACAAACTGTAGCTGAGGGTTACTGCAGCCCGCCCTCGCCTCTTCTTTCTCCATCTGCACCAAACTGCTTAAAGTGATAATGAGTTGTTTTTAATAATTAATTTGCATATAAAAGCCGAGCCGTCTGTGTGGGCGGCAGAAACAGATCCTAGATCACAGTCTGGCTGCTGGCAACGCTTCAGAGAAAGCCACAGAAAACAAGAGAGAAGCAGGAGGCGAGAGGGGAAAAGACAAACCGAGAAACAGAACGAAGAAGAAGAATGAGGGAAGCAGAAAGAGAGACAATGAGAGGAAGGAGATGAAATATAGGCGCTCCAGAGAAAGACTGCTGTGAACAAGACATTTTGCATTAATGTAACGTTTATGTTTGAGAGGGTTTTCTTTTCTCTGCCACTTTTTTTTGTTGTTGCAGTTTTGCTAGCTTGAGTGTTGTACAGATAGAAACGTCTGCCAGTCGGCAAGGCTTTTACATCGCATTGTTCATATCACTTCACAGTATTTGCTCTTAAGTGCGTGTGAGTGTTTGTGTTCTTCAGTATTCAGGGCTGTGAAGCTAACGTTAGCTCAAGATGCTAAGCTGTAGCAGCAGATGCAGTCGGTTCCTCATCAGAACTTTTACTTGGTCAAACGTGACTTTACAGGCCGTTTGTCATTCACATAATATAATGTAATAGTTTCCTAAACGTGAGCTAAATTTGTCATTTGTTTCTTTAGAATGAAGTTAACTTCCGAGTTGACTTTCCTGTGAAGACATTCTGACTAGTGGAAAAGCACTAATGACACTAATGAAGGCTCCTTTGTATTCAAGTGTCCCATTAAGCCATGACAGTGTGACAATGAGCCAGTACGCACAATACCAGGACCCTGACAGTGAAGCAGCTAAATGGAATTCAGCCATCATTAATGGTATTTACCTTTGTGCTTTTTCCCACTCTGACATGTCAAAATGTCACGTAGATCTTCTGAGTTCAAACACAGCTTAATTTGAACATATCTAACTAACTTGTGATGTGCGACCCGCTTTCACTAAGTTCAGCGTTATCGTGGTGGAACGATTAAAACAACGGGAGAGACAAAGAAGGACTTTCTGTTAGGATGATTTACGCCAGGAGCACATTGTCCATGACAGGCTTGATTCAGGCGAGCGGAGATGAAAAGATTACAGCATGAAACATTTATGAGCTGCACTACGTTGTGAAGACTTCACAAAACACGGAAATATATTATTTAATGAGGACATGAGAAATCATTTGCATTGGAATTACAGTCATGGCAAAGTTTCAGCACAGTACTGCTACATTGTGTAAACTTGTAACCAACTTTTTGACTCACTGGCTGAGCACATTGTTTACCAGCCAAAATAACAAACTGGTTTTGTCACATGTGTATTTGTTTTAGTACATTTCATTGAGGTGATAAGGTATTGTGTTGAATGCAAACGTAAAGGAGAGGAGACATTTAAAACAAAATTTTGAAAACAATCTGTTGCTTTAAATCATTTTAACCAACTGAAACCTCCTCATAAGACTCCTCTCCCTCTACTACTGTCCTCCTGTGGGTACATGCAGACTTAACATTAGTAGTAGTAGTAGTTACTACTAATAAACAGGGCCATGAAACTAAGAGAGCTCGAGTCAGTTTTGCAGAACTGTATAGAAATGCGAAAAAACAAATCTGGTAGTGTGTGTGTGTGTGTGTGTGTGTGTGTGTGTGTGTGTGTGTGTGTGTGTGTGTGTGTGTGTGTGTGTGTGTATTGTTAAATTCAGCAGAGGACAGGAGCAGCGCACCTGTAAATTACACCAAAATGCTGTAATAATTTATTTTATGACTATTATTGGGTACAAACATTTACCCAACAGGGTGGCGGAAAGCCTTACATAGATTTTATTAATTCATTATTCATTTTGAACGCTCCTTGTATCTACATTTGTGTTAAGCAGCCAACCAACCAACCAAAAGTTAGAAGTGCTGTCTGTTTGCAGAAGCTGGAATATACCAGGGAGGGACATTGATTTTTATGATGCATTCACTTGAAATGGGAACTGCAGATTGTCTGTAGCAGGAGATGATAAGTTCTGCACTATTTTTAAACTTTTATATTGTAATAATCTTTGAATTATTAAGCAATAGGATAAGATTAGATAGACTTTATTGATCCCACACTGGGGAAATTCACTCGCTACAGCAGCTCCAGAAACAACTCAGCAGGAAAGAAAAATATACATTGAATAAAACAATTCAATAAAAAGAATACAAGATATAATGAAACTAGAATAATGGTTATATGTACACTACATACAGCTTTTCATACAGATGAAAGATCAGTGATATGGAACGTTGCACAGCAGGAGGTAGTGGCATGGTAAAACACATATAGTAGTATAAATTAGTGGAAAATATAGGCTATAGACAGCGCTATGAATATACAGTAAAGGTCTAATAACAATAATGTGCGTGTAGGAAATGAAATACATATATACTGTATGTAAAAACTGTACAGTACTAATAGTGACTGGTAAGGTGTTATTTGACACACAAAGCATTGTATTAGATGTTAACTAGTTAACATACAGTACGATTGAACACCTGATTGATTACAACTGTTTTTACTGTTCGTCAGTAGTCAGTAGTGTCTTTATATCCCATAATATCCGAACACTGCATTAGATGAGTTTGGCGTCGAAGTGGAAAGTTTAATGTGAAACTAACTCGTGACAACACAGCAGATAGAGTTGACTTCACATTAATAGTTAAGGTCAGCTGATGGCCAAAGGCGCCTGCAGTTTCAAATAATAACTACACTTTGAATTGAATTGTTCAGCTTTACCTTATAGCACAGCCACGACCACTGAGTCAAACTGCTAGGGAGTGTTAATGCTCCATTTCTGTGTGGGTTATTTGCGAACACACACTCTCACACACACACAGACTGCTTCATGCACATTTTGGTGAGCGTTCACGCTGCCTTGCATAAGTCGCAGTATAGAATCAACCCACCCACTGAAACACTGAAAAACACACACCTCACATAGTTAATCTCTCCGGAAAACAAGGAGACAAGGAGACGTGCACCCACCCGCTCACGTACACACCTACGCAATCACACAATCACATCCTTCCTCTCCCATCATGCACACACAAGTAGGTTCAGTCTTGACACTGACACACACACAGACACACACAGAAACAGACACACGCAGACATCTCTACTTACTGATAAAGACCTGTATCAGAAGATAACAGTGTTTCTGAAAGGTTATTCTCTGTGCGCGCCAACTCTTGCTATCAGATCCAATAGGACTGTGTTGTTTGGGCTGAAATCGGGGTTGAAAGGGATTTCACTACCCATCCAGACATTTAAGCTTAGAAAACATCACCAGTGTGAAAGATTAAAGAGCAGAGAAGGTCAGCGACTGTAAAAATACAAACTTTTACAGGCTGGATGAGTGATACTGGAAGCTAACCATAATGCTTTGGCACAGACGAGTCGGTGCTGGAACTCATTCAAATGTCTTGTGTAAGGAAAAGATGCCAAATATGATAAGTAGCGCATTTCAACTTTTAACACAAGAGCAGCCAAAACCAATGCACGCGCTCTCTGATGCAGTGTCGAGCCTTTTAGCATTCATTTTCAGTTTCTCACCAAAAGGCAAGAGAAGAGAAATCATCCATATTTGATCACTAATATGAAGTCTCTTAAAATAAAAACGCCTCTGTATGCAGATTTTGTTAATGTTTGACAAGAGAAAACACTTTCAACAGAAAATGAAAAAGCTGTCATTTTGCATTTTAGTTGGTCTATATCTTTAGAGAATACTGGCATCAAACATATGCAACACACAGCAACATTGGCAGCTCTAAGAATAACATGACTGACAGGCTGAAAGATGACTGAAATAACTGACTGAATGTAAACAAAGAAGTGGCATTGATACTCACCGGAGCTGTAGCCACGGCCTCCTTGTCGTAATACTTTTTCCTCTCGTACTTGTCCCGGATGAAGACCTCCACTGCTCTGAGGGTAAGATTAAGGACTGAAATACTGCGCAAAAATATCCAAATATGCATTACGCACACAATGCAGAACATTTGCTTAAATTACTAACGTTCTGATTTCATGGGTTTTAGATACCGCAAGCATTAAATCTATCTACCTATCTATCTATCTATCTATCACAAATTTTAAAGCCTCATTTATAATTTACCTTATGCTGTAGACTACACCGGAGCCTGACGTGCACCTCCCCAGAAATGTACCTCCACATTGTGGCAACGCAGACCACAAACAACCACAGATGAGTTAATAATGCTGTTTGATAACCCCACACAAACAGGCACACTTTTTGTCTGTCCCCTCATATTCTCTCGTCCTTTTGTTTCCCAGGCGGCGGTGGAAAAGCAAACGAGGAACACAAGACAGATTAAAGCGTAAATGAGCCCCAAAACCACTTTTAATCTTCTATATATGGGTTTTAACTAGAGTTGTTGATTCACTGAGGTCCAAATCTGGATACTTAAGTATAAAGTATTTGAATTCTACATATTTTGCTGTAAATCTGCACAGCAACCGCCCTCTACTGGTCGAAACCGGCTGTTGCAATTAAATTCTGCTCCTGGCTGATCTGAGGTAATGTGTGTGGTGCCAGCTGCTACTATAAAACCAACCTCTTGAGTCTGTAGACTGTTAGGTAGCGGTAGCCTGACACTGGAGAGTTAGCCTCTCAGAAACTTTTCCAATGTGCTTCTAGTGACTGTAAAAGCTCCAGCGGACTGCGTTTGCAGTGCAGACACAGAGAGTCTGGCAGCAGCTGCTCCTGGCTGGTTAGCCCTGACTACTGGCAGCTGTACTCCTGCTGCCACTCTGTCACTGTGGCTGGTGTTACCTCCCGCATGACACACTACGCAGCCACATGGCCACACCCCCATTTCATCCTCTCTGCTGCATTTTTTTAACTTGCTGGGAGAGAGAGAGAGCTAGCAGGATTAAGGGGTTTAGTTACACTTTAAGGAGAGAGACGAGGGAGTTTAAGTTTTAGCTGCCATTGTACACGAAGAAACTCAACCCAGTGGCACAGAAACACCAACACCAACTAGCTCTTTGGTGGTTTTATTTCCAGAGCTACAGACAAACCAGAAATATAAATGCTCAGAACCACATAGTTCTCTAACACAGGCTACAGCGTAGGCTCTTATAACATGGTTCGATTCTAGCTATCGGTACAAATAAAAGGCAAAAGTGCCCAAGAAAAAACACAAAGAAAACTCAAACCTCCTAGTCTTATTCTTATCAAACCATTCAACGAGCCCTCGTCTCCACTCATTCATTCAGGTTTTTCCTTTAATTTGTCATCTGCTACATGTAAATATTTAACTTTCTATGAACATTAATCATATTCCATGATTTTCCTTAATACAATACTTCAAAATGTGTTGATCGGAGGGACCCCTGAAGAAAGTCTAATGACGTCACTGACATTACTGCTCAGTCACTAAACATTTGGCTGTTTGGTTTCATTAACAGAAATTATGGGTGGTCGTGGTCATAGATTCTTGTCATTCTCAAAATACCATGACAGACATGCAAGCACACCCACAAACTCCAACTGACACACAAACACACGCCAGCATTACACCCAGGCCCTACATCCGCACTAATCCGACTCTCTTATCTCCCTATTTCAGCAGCGACGCTTCTGTCGGATCGAGTAATAGACTTCAAAAGATTGAAAAATGATGACCACCCGCACGAGTCGGGCTACGAGATAGGCTGGAAGAGGCAGGCTGCTGGAGCTGCATCTCAAACACGGCCACTTATTTATTGCTGTTGACTGGAAACAGCAGAGCAGATAGGACGCTACACTGCGATACTCAGCACAGCAATTCAGAGGGTGTGTGTGAATACAAGTGTGCCAAATGACATGGTGGTTATGTACACACGACCACAAGAGCGTGTGTACGTGAGTGATGAAGATGGATGGTGCACCACTAAAGCGCCCACAAAACTCTCCAAATAAACCAGAGCTGGCTGATATGTGGGCCCACTGCTGACCTTTGACATTGATGATATCCTCTCCAGCTCTGATGAGACATACAGTTCAACTTCAGATTTATTATACTATACATAACATCATGCTGGTTATCAACTGGAATATCTGAAAAACGCATTAAAACAAGTAAAAGTAACAACCACCAAGCACCAAATGCTGGTAAATTTTGGGTTTGGAGGAAAAATAAATGGCCGGTAAATACAGCGTAGGGGCAACTTAGGCCAATGTGACCCTCACTGTCCACCATACTTATCCTAAAGTCAGCGAATCAAAGCAGCTTTCTATTGTCTGGCACTTTCTACACATTAGTATTCTTAACTTTAACGTTTCTAACTTCAGATTTTGTTGTAAATCGCCTGCATAGAAACGAAATTGAATAACTGAATAAAGCGTGTGCTCATGAGACTTAAAAAAGGGTATAACTAACATAGCGATGATACCATATAAGGCAACAAGACCTGCCCCACGTGTGAGGAAGTTCATTTATTAAAATAGTACATTAGAGTAAAAAGAAGAAGCTTTACGAGCTCGGAGATTGAAGTTCTGCTCTCAGGGGTCAACAAAGGAAAGTATCATTTAAAACACAGCCAGCAGTGGAATTAAAGGACCGGCTAAAGCGGAGTGGGAAGAAATAACTGAGGTGAATGGAAAGTCTTCATCACGCAGACAGAGGAAAGAATACGTGCATTGTCAGGAGAGGATGTACCCCTGGACAGCGACCTGCACACACCTTCATGTGAAGAGAACTCTAACCCATCAATAGCCAATTTAAATGAACGATGAAGCCTTGTTATTACCGTAGTAACAAATAAAAACTGCAATAACTGCAAATGCAACAAGACAACATGAACTCCACACACACACACACACACACACACACACACACACGTAGGAGTTGAAAACAAAATATCAAATACGGCGGGGGAATCAAACTCCATTTTGTCATTTACATACATAAGCAGAGTAAATAGCAGGACCAAAGTGTGTGAGTGTGAACACAGAGAAGCGCAAAAGAAAACCGCTCACACACATTCAGGCGGTAGCTCCTCTAATCCTGGGTCTGTTATCTGCTGTTTTCAGCCAGCGGCGCTGCTGTCAGAACAACTAATGGACTTCAAAAGAGTGAAGAATGATGACCACCCGCACAAATGGGCCTGCCAGATACAAGATAGGGTATTAGAGCGGCATTTCAAACAGGGAGATTATTTATTTCAGTCTGCTGGTGGAAATATGAACATATGCTGCAGCGTTAACCACACAGCTGTCTTGTCTTGTATCGTGGAAAAGGGCAAATTGGAAAGTGCCGTTACATCGCTGTATACACAGACACTGCTAGAGGTGTCCTGTTTGAACGTGTGGAATCACGCTGACGTAGCGAGCCTGTCACTTCTGATCTGGTGCGGGGTTTGATTGGGGATGTGCACACGAAGCCCAAGTTGGATGGTGACAATGAGTCAGATCTGATACGGTTATTTTCTCCGGCTTGTCACAGAAAAAAGGTCCATTGCAGGTCAGCAGTGATTTTAAGTAGGGTTAAACTGATCTGTATGCTGATGTACTGTACCATTGGATATTAATCACCACTAATATTACAGAGCCAACTCACTGATCACAGCTCACTAATTACCTTGTTGCAGGGTGGCCCCCCCGACTAAAGATTTTCCTAGCCGACTAGTAGTTGCACATTTATGAGATTAATTTAATTATTTAAATGTCTATATGTGAACAGCAGCCTGTTAACTGCTAACAGAAACAGAGGTAATGATTGTAAATGTGTCAAAACAACTGGCTACAAACTGGCTCCTCTTCCTCCTGAACCCGCAGAGTCTTCATCCCCAAAGTCAGAGTCCTGGTCGGAGCCGCCGGGAATCAGCTGGCCTCCGTTTGTCCGCCCCACTCTGGTCCTGACGCTCAGTCGTGCCCCGCTCCCCGGCAGTATTCCTCGCTGTGTCCCCCACTCCTGTGTTAGTAGTGTTTAAACTCCCCCTGTCCTTCCAGCTTCAAGTCTGGGTACAGCTAATAGGACCGCTAACTAGCTTGTGTTAGCAGCTGGTACAGTAAGCATATGCAAAAGTGCACTGGGAGGTGATTTGTTTTATAAATTTGTCATTTAAAGGTTATATATGCAAAATACACTAACCCCTTGGTTTCGCCCTTGAGCACCAAAACAAAGACGGAAATAAAATCAAACTCACCAGAACTGACTTTGTTAGTCTTTCCAACATTAACCAACACTGTGAAAATGTCTGCAATGTAAGATAAGGATTATCTATTAGGACAAATACGCCCAACCAGGTACGTCCATTAAAAGTCTCAGTGTCTGACAGCATTATGGAAAGGATCCCTACAGAGATAGACCTTTAGTTTAACCACAAACAGCCGTAATATCACTATCACTCTCCACCAGACTCATTCTACCTTCAGATCATCGTAACTTCATTCAAAGTGGACAGAAACAGAATAAAACTCACCAAAACGGTCTCTGTTAGTGTTTCCAACAATCACCAACACTGGTTTGGAGGAAATAAATCCTTAATTCACAGACGCAGACGATAAACACAAACCACAGAGAGGCTGCGATAGCTCATGCAGAGGGAGTGATGTAATAATTACAGCATCAATTCTCAAGTTATGACCAAAACATTTGATACTGCGTTCACAAGATTGGGACAGGAACCTGAAAACATAATGCAACATAAAACAAAACTAAAAATCTTACTAATATGAGGCAAATGAAAGGAATATTATGTAACTACGGTTGGTGTATCCTCTCAGCGGTATGTGGCACAATTAACTGTGACATGAACAATTTTAATGCAAACGTGTGGTGACATCGTGAGCTTGTATGCAAATATCTGGTGTGCTTTAAGATTTGTATGTAAATATAAGGCGACATATATGTTGACACAGGAGCTTGTTACTCGTTATGACTGCATGCTAACGGGTGGTGGGGGGTTTTATACAAATGCATGGTGACAGGCAGTTTCAATGCACATGTAACTTGACAACAGTAGTTTATATGCAAGTTGCTCAAAGACGGGGAGTTTTTCCACCATCGTGTGGCGACGTGTATGGTGACAAACTGAGTTTTTATGTAAATGAAGTTGATGCAGAGGCAGGAGGAGGATACTGGTCTGTCTGTGGCCGTCTGAAGCTCTCTGGTAGGTGGGCTTCGTACAGCTGTTTGGCCCTTCTGTTGCCCATGTCCACCATACTCTGCGAGGAGAAGAGAGAGAGCAAAGGAACACGGGTGTTAATGCTCAAAGGGAATTTGGTGAAATGCCTTTAAGAAAGTGTCAAACAGACACACAGCGAGTCCTTTCATTCCACAGATTTGCATTCGGCTCGATTCGCCCGGCGACTCGTCTCTCACACGCACATACGAAGCACACAGAGTGAAAGACACACAGAGTGAAAGACACACTGGCTGCATGTGTCAAGGCTAAATTAAGAGGAGGGTGATAAATGGGGTGATGATAGGAGAAGTGGAGGAGATGGAGTCGGAATAATCAGCCATCCAGAATTAATTAGTCATTGAAAACAGTGATTAACATTCAGAGTGAGACCCTTTCCACTCACACTCAGCTGATGGATAGACCTTCAAGAAGCACACACACACCTTTACCAGAGTACACACTGAACGATGGGATGTATTAACAACTGGATGATTAAATAAATGACTGCCATGCTCAGGTGTCACACACACACACAGACACACACACCGGTTCTCCTGGTGTATTGTGTGTAATTGAATCAATATGACATGCTATTTATTCACAAAACACAAGTATACACAGACTGATTAGTTCTCTATATACTCTGAGCATGCATGTGTGTGTTGCTGCGCATGTATATGCATGTCAACAATCCACTGTGAATGTGAAAGTACTGCAATGAATACTAAGTACTGCACTTCTGTGGCACTGTGTGTGTCTCTGTGTGTGTGTGTGTGTGTGCTGCTTTATTTAACTCTTTGAAATCTGAACTGGTTCCCCTCAGTTCTCACTCCCTTTGTTTACAGCTTTATGACCGCAGTCCCAAATATTCCTTATATATAATCTTCAGCTGTGTTAACTGTGAACCCATCGTGACGTCACCCATCCGTTTGTGGAGTCTCGTTTTGAAGCCTTGAGCTTGGCGTTATGGTTGTCGCCATGACAGTTTGTCGCAGCCAGTGGAGGTGACGTACTGCAAGTTGAGCTGCTCTCAATGGCTGCACAGTTTCAACTCGTCCATAGAAGGAAACAATGACGGTCCAAGCCCGAACTGAACCCGACCTATGGCTGCAGTTTTGGGCCCAATCCTGTGTTGCTTTGGGTCACCCGAAGGAAATCTGCACCATTAAAGCTCCTGTTCTCATTGAGGATGTACAGACAGTAATCACCTGGATTTCTTTTGATACTGAAGAAAACATTTAAGTTTGATAATTATAGAGCAAAATCTTACATTGGACTGTCTTTTTCCTGTAATTTCTTTGTGTTGAAAGATCCACTGACTCCGGCATTATGTGTATAAATTGTGCGTGTTTGGATGTGACTGTGAATCTGAGAGCAAAAGTGCAGTTTCTGACACAAATTGGGTCAATTCGGTTCACAGGGTTAAAGGAAAACTCTGCCCCAAAAAACATAAATTACATTGTGCTGCTCCAGTGATTTCTAAAATCACAAACAACTCTCTGTCCTTTCTTCACCGTTCCTGCTGCACAGCTTGTTGACTGTTCCAGTTTCAAACGCTAAAAGTAAATCGTGTTTGAAATCATCACAGTGAGAACATCTGATTCTTGAGGGATCAAGATGTGAACGGTATAAATCACAGACATAATCAGTATTTTTATGGTGGATTTGTTGCTGCAGTATTCCCACACCGGTGTGCGTTGCTTTGTGTGATTAAGGTGTGTGTTTGTGTGTGTGTGTGTGTGTGTGTGTGTACCTGGATCTGCTCAGATGTCCACTGGTCCAGATTGACAGATTTGACTCTGGAGATGTGGACACCCAGGTTGCGGTGGATGCCGGCGCAGCGGATACACATGAACACCCCGAGGTTCCATGACGCCCATCGAGGACCTGAAATGTGAAAGAAACAGAAAGAGATTTCTGCTTTAAAGTGGCACTAATTTCTCTGATGTAATGTCCTGTTGAGTTATCAGCTTAACACACAGAGCTGCAGAGAGGGGTATTCCAACCCTACCATTTGAGACAATGTAGATCCGGCCTTTCAAGTCCCTTTCAATTCAAATTTGTGGAAGTGGTAGAACAGCAGCAAGCGATGAATTAAAACTCTTGTGTGAAACGAGTGACGGCTATTCTCCCTGAACCTATCAGCCCAACACAGCGCTTCAGAAATGGGCTTTAGAAATTCAAAGGTAACTCTCGCCTACCACTCGATGCTACAAAGTATGAAGTTGCCAAGTAGTTTTCCAATACCAAGTCTGTCAACTATAACAATGATACTGATTTTAGAGGGGAAAAATTCACTGATCACAGATGTGATGGCTGATACAGGGAATCTCTGAGCTGGAACGAAAATAGATTTCACACCAATGTGTGCAACTGTGCTCAGATGGCTGCTTTCTTAAACAAATAACTTTATCAAAGAAAACTTTAGTTAAATATTCTTTAAAAAGGTACATTGTGTACCATTTAGGATGATCTATTACTAATATAATATTCATGTTTCTTTTATACTTTTTGATTGAACTGTTTAATATATGTATTTTAACTTATGTGAAGTGTCTCTGAGTACCATTAAAACCGCTCTATAAATAAAATGCATTAATATTATTATTATTATAAAAATACAATAAATAGCTGAACATCAATAATGTAAAACCTACAAGCCTTTTTTGCATTATGTACCTGAAAAAAGCATCGCCGCATATCGGATGACACGTACATCGATACCAATACAATACCGATACATCTGCAATAGGCCAATATAGCAGCTGAACTTACTTACAAACAGTTTGTCAGCAACAGATAGAGTCAGAAGGACTCTTTAGTCAGTATGAGCATTGACATCCACCATAGAGTCCCTCCACAGAAACTCACGCTCAGAAGTCGCAGTTTGGACAAACTGTTTGACTGACAAGGGATTTCTGGAAAGTGCAGCAGTGTGCAGGTACAGTTCAGTATCAGAGTTGAACAGAAACTCAATAAGTTAATACGAAAAGATAAAAATCCAAACAGCACAAACATTCAAAGTGTTTCCTTACTTTGGTGAAATTGTCTCACTTGAAAAACTGACACACACAAAACTTCAACTTTAGGTTATCCTGAAACACTTTGAAGACGTTCTTATCAAAATTGCTCGAGGAGTATTATCCCAAATCCCTTCAATATATCTTAATGGGATTTTACAAAGCAGCATAGTGCGGTTTGTATTATTTATAGATATCATTTGATTACAGTTCCTGGGGTTTAAGAAATATTCTCCTCTGTAAAGTTATTAGTCATTTTGGAGCAAAAGAAAAGGTGCAGATACATCGTTTTTTACATTAAACGTACAAATTATGGCTAAAGAATTGCTGCACTTAATCAACTCCAAATGAGGAAGCTGATTTTTTTTTTAATTGCTACAGAGAGTTTTATGGTTATGTCAAATTTGGTCTTTAAAAAGGAAAGAAGAATTATAAAATTCATGTCCTTTTATTGCATGCATTCTCAATTACTCTCACTTAGTGAGCTCAATGAAAGCAGCTTTGATATAACAGACTGGTTTTCAAAAGCTTTCATTAGCTCAAGGGTCAGAATTTTTACATCATAAAGCTACAGATGAACTACAGACCCATTCTTTCCGAGCGCAGTACAAATGTTCATTGTACAGAACTGAACTCCAGTTGGATTTTGAATCAGAGGCAAAAACAACCAACATTGGGTTACATAAAAGCCCTGGCAGAGAACAAGAACAGGGCCATGAGCTTGCTGCACAGAACCAGAAGACGTGAAGAACCTTTGGGCAGACACAGACAAGACTTGATTCCTGTTGACACACAATCGTGCAATGCCTGTTGAGAGGGAGGGATGGAAATTTTTAATAATCCCACGAGCAACTGCCCTGTGCATTGCTCGAAGTCCTGCTGATATTTTTAACATTCAGTATCTTTAATACCCTGACCTTTACCCAAAAACTGTCCAATTGTAGATTAGCAACAGTAACTAGACACAGTCTCAGTTTTTTAGCTTTTCAAAAAACACAGGAGCAAACGTAAAAAGAACGGATTGTTTATGTGCTCTAATGAAAGCTGCAAATGTTAGCATGTCATTATGTAACTAACTCGGGTTTTCAGACGCTGTAAGACGATCCAAGAAGCATATAATAAGAGCATTAAACTCACTGAAACCCAGAATATTAACACATTCATGCATATGGAATCTCTTTAAAACATCTTGTTTGAGTGAGTTCAGTTTAAGAGCTTCCCACAGATAATCTGTGATCCAAATGCATCGTCCATTATATATAAAATAGCACAAAACAACCCGAGCTCTGGCAGACCTCCATGGGGATGAATAGGAGATGGCACGGAAATGACAGTCAAATCATTTTAATGGGCTAGTGGCTACAGTCCCCTCAGCGCCATCGTTGGCTCCATCCCTCTCCGGAGCATGAAGCTTACTATCTGTCAATGTGACGATTGAAAGCGACTTTGAACACAGCGAGTGCAAAAGATCAACCTTTATGGATCCGGGCTACATAATGGTGGTGCAGCGGGGACGGTTGGATGGCAGCGGGGGGATGCACGCAGTCTAGTGGGCTTGCCGGTCTCGGGTAAGAGCATCAGTGTGTTAATGCAGTGGCACTAATGCGCTAGACGGCCTAAAGGAGCATTAAGGCAGGGATGACTGAGTGTTAAGCCTAAATCAAGCAGCTCAGCCATTGTAAGCTGGACTCTATCTGTATGGATTGGACTTTGGACACTTTGCTCTGCTCTTAGATAACCTCTTTCAACACATTCTCCAAAACAAACAGTTGTCTTCTCAACCATACAGAGCTCACGTGTGCATACCCTCACATCCCGAGTGTACGCGTGCAGTGGATGGGAATCAGTTTTTTGGCGAACTACAGATGGTCCAGACACTGATGTTTTTTTTTTTTTTTTTTTAACAGTAGATTTTCATAATGGAAACTCATTCTCTGCTGGAGTATTTCTATTACCGTGAGAAAATCAATTGAGCAGTTCAGCAGGGCCTGACTGTATTTAGAAAAGTGAATGGCTCACACAAATTGAACTCCAAACATAAAGTGCGCTATTGTGGAAAGACATAAGCTTTCGTCTGCGTCTCGCATACTAAAACTGTGGCACGCTACTTCAACCGGTCGCTCACATTTCTCTCTGGGATGATGAGCAGCCTGCACTGATGCTCTCTGATGATCTGACCGGTGTAAGTAGATGATTACCAGCAATCCCTCAGTGTCACTTAGTGTAATCTGATTACTCCCCACTTTTGGCAGCAACCAGATTTCAGAAGGTTCATATAAATGGAGTCTCCTTTGTTCCTTTACTTCTTTGACATGAAAACCTGCTTTTTTTTGTGACACTGATCCAACCATTAGCTAACATGACTTATTATTTCAGGGTGCACAGTTTTCAATGAGTTCCTTCTGAAGCATTGTACGTGTTATTTTTATGTATTAATCCCTCTTTATCGCCAGTGAGTGGAAGGGTTGTAACGTAGCTTAAAAAATGAGACCTTACCGGACTTTCTTGGTTGCCTGTGGACAGATTTATACGTGAACAAAGATCCAAACGCTGTGACGTTTATGGATGTTCCTGAGTCCGCTAACACCTACAAACGACCGACACCCACCACAACGCAGAGTCCAAAGTCAAAGCTAACACATGAAATATATAGCGAGACTGTGGTTGTAACACTAATACTACTAATACTAACTACTAATTACTGATGCTGTAATACTGAGTGGATATGTTAGTCAGCTAATGTCAGCTTGCTAAATAAACTTCCCCAGCTGAAGTGATCCATGATATTAATTGTATTGTGATATACAGTGTTGATTTTTACCAACAGTAAATGGGGTTAGCACATTTCTAGGACATTTTCAAAATTAGCTCTTGTGTTCCTAAATTTCCCTTCAATTCAAGCCCTATCCTCCCACAAGACTTTTAGGGTTAGGGTTAGAAATGTGGGAACTTTGGGAACATAGGCACGCTCCCCAGTAAATGATGCAGCGGTACAAACGATTGCTTTCTACTAGCCAAGACAGGGGCATAAGCTTGGGTTGGCCAGCTGGGAGAAACGGAAGTAAACTGCTTCCCATGAACATTTCTAATAATATCTGGCTAAAATCAGTAACATATAGATCAGCTGAAACTATCATTCATCTATCAAGTGGTTGAAATTCACCTATTTTGGTACTTTAATGGTCACAAGAGTAAAAGAATTCTTCTACCTTTATCTATCTTACCTGCGCTTTGCTGTAACATTAAACCTTTGTGGCAGATGCGATATAATAGCAATGGTTTAAAAGAGGAGCCTTGGCTGTGGAGGGTAAAAGCCACTCTGATTTATGAGTGCTGACCTTCTGCACCGGTCTGTATCTATTAACCTACTGTTTGCTGCATGCAGTCCTATTTCTGAATCTGCTGTTCTAAAACAATAACCACTGTTCTCAGCATCCATCAGTAATTTATGGTTGGCAGGATCTTTTCCACCAACCTTAAAATGACCTTCCCCAAGTCCTTTTTTATTTGAAATGAATGAATAAATGCAACTGATGCATATGATTACTATGAACTGAATGGTTCTGAAACATTAGTATCTGCTCATCTGTGGCCCCCGTGAGGATAATTCACATTCAGTTTTATTATGCTATTCATCTTTACACTTGCTCTACATTGGAGTTTGGACAAAAATAGACAGCAGAATTGAGTTCTCTCAGTAGAGATGAGCCCTGCAGTCCCCCCACCCACCACACACACACACACACACACACACAGAAAGAGAGAGAGAGAGAAAGAGAGAGAGAATAGAAACACACTAATGCTAATTTGTAGACTGCTGACCTGATTAAACACAAATGAGCTCTTCTCTCTCACTCACACACACAC